CACTTTGTTATTCTTGTTTATATTTTAGATCTGGAAGCCCAGAACAGAACACAACTCGTATTTTAGGCCTAGAACCGGAGATAATGCGAGCTCTTCGCTATCATATAACTATTCATTGCCCATTCAGGTGATCTATCATTACATAGATATGCTAGATTAAGTTTTTCGATGTTTAGGCCATTTGAGGGTCATCTGGTAGAAATGAAGACGCGAATGTTACTATTGAACTTCAACGTAGAGACAGTTCGAGAACCTGCGGACCAATTTTTCAGAGTGAGGTTCTAAATTGCTGGAACAAAATGCAAATTTATTTTATACTTTAAGAAAGCTCTTTTGTCTGATGTCATGCTTATGTATCCACCTTCACAAATAGCTTTGGCAGCTTTGAAATATGGCTTGGATGCGTTAGGTAAGCTGTTGGCTATTCTGCATATGATATGATAGTCAGGCACATTTTACTCTAGATAAATCTCCCGATGTCCTTGCCGAGTTTCTACAAAAACTCATGGGAGTGGAGGATGACTGGAAGGGAATGCATGGAGATGCATTGCAAACAATAGATAAATTGATAGTCAGGTATTTTGAGATTGTGGCTGTAGACCTTTATTTATAAGTCTATTTATTTATGTTGTTTTCAGATTAAATGATATTATTGATGTTGTCAATCATGGAGCGAAGCCCTTAACCCCGGAAGAGCATGCGTCGATCCAGGTATGGCCTACGAAAAAGGCGCTTTTACCTGTGAATTCTAATAAAGCAATTAAATTTAGGCAAGAACGGAAGATTGGGCAGCGTTAAATCTGGCCTTGGAAGAGCGTCGTCAGTCAAGGCCAGGTTATATAAAGAAAGAGGATCCAGTAGATTCTGATGATGAATAGTACTAAAGGAGCTTTTCGAATTAAATGTTGATCTTCCACTCGGGTTTCTATTTTAAAAAATGATAACGCTTCTCAAGAGTGAGACCATTTTTCGCATTTAGACCACTCAGTAAACTTAACCAGACCTAATAACAACTATTTGCATGAGTTCACTGAGCATGCTACGTATTATTGCGGAAAATAGTCTCATGTTCATGCTTCGTTGTCTTCTTAGTTGTTTTGCAAATGTTTTGTTTGGTATACAATAAAATATGTAAATTGAAATTTGCCTGCACTTTCACCTTGAAATCTTGAACACAATGATCAATATATCGATCTCCACTCGACTTGTTTCTTTTTTTGACAATAAAGACCATAGATGTCTTGCATAGGACTTCAACCTTTCGCACTATATGCGGTTTTAACTTCTGAAATCGTTGCTTTAGAGCGCTTAGCTCAATATATCGATTTTCTAACGCTTGCTCTGGAAGAATCGGCACATATTGCAAGGCAAATTTTACAAAAGTTTAAATTTACATGGTGAGTTTCTACAAATCCAGGTGAAAAAAATCGCTATCGCCAAGTGGATCACGAACCGGGCATTCCTAAACTAACTAAACTCCATCCCTCCAGAGTCGGTGCATTGGTTCCAGCCCTCTTTGGGAGGATAAAAGCATTTGACTTCGGCTGCTCCGCAAGTCACCGCATAGGTTCAAAACGCAGTGCTTCTGCGATGTCAGATAAAGTTGAACGCTTGGCGCATCTAATTCGAGCTTGACTGATTTCAGGAAATTTAGTTCTTTCTAATTTTCACCTTAAGTTCTTTCAACATCTCTTCTTTGTTTTAACCTGACGATGAGCTAACGCGTTATCCAGCTGAGAACTTAACTCACCACTTTTTGGGAGACCGAAGCTAAATCTATTTTATCTATCGGTATGTCCATCAAATAAAGCAGAACTTTTTTTGCAAGCGTATTCTTCTGATTTATCATCACTTATCGGTTGCCTGGGATGTTCTTTAATTTTTTCCATAGTTTTGTATAATCAATTAGTTGCTCATTTGAGGTAAATTTCTATTTGATTGATAGAGAGCCTGCTTCTAGGTCCTGATTGCTCCTCGCAATGTGAAAATGGTCATTATGGAGACGACTGCCAAATGGAGTGCGATTGCAACGGTGAAAGTTGCCAGCAGAAAACTGGGAAATGTGTTTGTGGTCCTGGAAAGCAGGGTGATCGATGTGAACAGGGTAATTTGAATTTTTCTTTCTTTTTAATTTGTAGGTAGCCTAATCTAGCATCTTGTCATCGAAACGCGTAAATGTGTTTTAGCATCTATTATGGTAGAACGCATGATCTCAAGCACGCGGGAGGCAATGCGTGATAGAACATGGCATGTATGCTGGTGTTTTAAGCGGTTGATATGAAACTTATCAAAGTAATGTAGGCGTTCACTGCTCATCAAGATTTACCCATTACCACAAAGCTACCTTTTGGTTTCTTTGAATCTTTATATAGTTAGAATCAATTCGCTGATGATAAAAGTTTACAATGTTGAGCCTTGGAAATAAGGCTTTAGAGTCATGATTAAAAGGGCCTGAAACGTATAGTCCATCGCATCCCCATTGTAGATTCTATCAATGGATGAAACGCAAACTCCTGGCATCTTCAATCTTTGGGTAGCACTGGAGGGCAGAATGGACAGGTTTCAGTTGAGGGTTCCTAGACTGGTGATGATCAATGAGAAGGTTAGGTTTGCACTTGATTTCTAAGAATGCTCGAGGGAGAATGTAACATTAAGGAGCCAGTGGAAGGCAAAGAAGTATCTGACTCAGCCAGGACAGGTGGGTGTATACAACTATGTTAATTAGAGGTTTGGCTACATTGCGACTAAACGCTTTTAGCAAGAAGAAGTTGCTCAGCTTATATTGATGCACTCAAACGTGGCTAATTTCTAATCTATTGCAGAAATGGATGTTCTTGGCGCAGCACGAGCTTACATAAAAGAAATGGTCAATCTGGCTGGTCCCCAGATGAAGGTGATTCTTATGGATAAGGAAACGG